AGAAAGTGACGAATTTATATAAAAATTATTACAGAAAATCTTCAAATATTTACCTCAGATACATTTAATGGCTTTAAAATCGTTCTTAATATAATAAACCAATTTAAAAATGTTGCATTAGTTATTGCAAAACCGAGTGAAATAATCCAGAAATTTTTATTTCTATAAAAGAAGATGATTAATGTAAATTAATGAGATTTTCTAATTGCATATTTAATCAATTTTATTCATACAAACTTCTTTAAAATTTGAAAGGAAGTCTTAAGGCCTAACCTCTCCAAATTAGCAGTAAAAGATGGAGATAAAGCAGGTTTATTTGGAAAGAACATGTAGACGAAAAATATTATAAATGATGCTAAAATGAATTCTATAAATAAATACATTAAAATATATATTATTCTCTTCATTCGAAGAAATGTATTTTATATTATTTTATTGATAAATTTAGCAATTTTGCTTATTTGACAGGACATTTTCAATTATTCTTACCGAAGTACATCATATACTTGATACGATCAATCTGATAATGAATTGCTATTTCAGATCTGCCTATAATGAAAAGAACATTTGAATTTGTAGGAATTTGAACAAGTATTTAAAATAATAACTTACCCCTACTAAAATATACACAGCTAATATTCATACGCTTTAAACTGAAAAAAAGTATAAAACAACTTTAATAATAGATAAAATTATAGTAGCTTATCATCATATACACGAGGTGACTTTGATCTTTTATATTGTTTTTAAATTGTTTACCAGTGATTCTATTGTCTCACCTCTTGCATCCCCATAATTTATCTTCCTCCCAATCATCCTGGTAGGATCAAAGTCTCGCATCCTCCAGGATGATGGACTCCTAGTTATTAACAATTGTTTATTCAATTTACATGCTAGTAAAATGTTAAATTTATATATATAAGATCAATGCCACTTTATAGTATACAGTATACCCCTCCTATAATACTGTAGATAATTCCGTGTTATATGAATTTCATGTTGTACGAGTCACTTAGATTTTACAAATACGTATGCCGGGCTGTGAACGGTTCACGTATTTGTAAAATCTAAGTGACTCGTACAACATGAAATTCATATAACACGGAATTATCTACAGTGTTATAGGAGGGATCTACTGTATCTCGTTCCAAAATATTTGATGATAATTAAACTATACTTTGCATCTCGACACGGTGACAAAGTAGACAGGTCGATGACAATTGGCCCAATAAGGAAACCTAAATAAATTCCTACATAATTACACAAATTGAATATTGTTGTAATTGTAGTTCGTTGTTTAACGGGAAACCATATGGAAGATACAAGACTTGATGAACCAGTTATCACTACTCCCGCTGTTCCTACGAGTATTTGAGAGATGTAAATTAATCTGAAGAAAAATAAAGATAAATTTATAGATTAAATAGATTATAACGTGCAGAATAATTTGTTTTTTTTCAGGAAAATAAATTTATTATAACTTACAGTTTAGCAATTTGTATATTTTGCATGGCACATCGAATGCCAATTCCAGTAAACAAAAAAGTATTAGCAAGTAATACATTATTTCTAATTCCTGTTGAAGTTAATTGATTATAAATTTAATTTTGTATGATAATATAAAAACTTTTATAGAAAATATCATCTATTTTTTAAATAAATATTTTAAAATTCATTAACATTACCTATTCGTTTGAGAAAACAACAAGCAGGAATACCAAAAATGACAAATGCAATGGTTTTGCAATGGGTCAATATTATTAAATTCGAATCTTTCCAACTAAACACATCTTTTGCAGATTGTTGTATTGTTATCCAGGTTATCCCTACAAAACTTTGAAGTAGAGTTAATGCTGAGAATACAAATAAAATCCACCATCTCCTTTTATAAAGCTATATTAAAAATGTATGTAATAATTATTCAATAATAATCAATTAATAAAATGGTTTACTATATTATAAACAGACCTTCGTATTTAGTATTGGTGCAATTAAATCTTTGTTCTTATTACTATGTACTGGTTGAACGTTTTTTAAACGTGGTTCGAATCGTACATTTTTGTCATCTTTCTCTTCATCTTCCTGTTTCCTTGAAGGGGTTGGATGTTGAATGTCTTCATCCTTGAAAATTGGAATCATTTTTATGATATTTCACACAAAAACACTGTATTTTAACGATACATAATACCCAAGTATACTTACAATGGGTCTCCGTTCTTCAGCCTGATCCGACATAGATCTGTAAGCAAATGAAAACACGATGATTGATGGTGACAGAGTCCACGTGTTGGCTACAAAAGTATCTTAACATTAGACATTTTCTATGTAAAGATGATGACAAGCAGTAATTACAAAAACGTACTCAGTGACCATAATTAAAGTACTACTATTCAAAGCTGTTTAGAGATGTAACTAATGTACATTTGGACCTCTAAATATACTCGTATATTAATTAATTTAATAAATATGTTTACCATGCGATCGTCTGAGAGGAAGAGAGTAAAATTGTAGATCTGAATAACACGTTTGGGACCTTAACAGAGCTGTAGACCATACTCATACGAGTAAAAACCCCAATGGCGGCAGTTCCGGTCGCCATCTTGCTTTCATGTTTAAATTTGGCAGTGGGGGCGACCAGTTTACACGCGGCACTGGAGGCCCATAACGACGACCAGTGCCTGTAACATAAATTATTAATACATTAACATCTGCTGACCGAAAAAAAGATTTTACTTTGAACAAGTATGTACTATACTTGCTTTGAACCAGTAACAAAACAAGTGTGTTGGGTGTCACCTATCATGAACTCGTTCAACCAATGAGTTAGTGATATTCTCAACACGTTTGTATTACTACTCATATTAATTGAAACTAGACACCCTGAAAATAGACTGATTTCGGGGGTCTATCTCTCGCGAAGGATCACGTGTAGACCATTGGTTCCTTTAAGCTATTGCATGGTCTACAGCTCTGTTAAGGTCCTAGCCTTGTCATTCAGATTTGTAATTGTACCGATTTAATACATATACCTATAAAGAGACATTAATGAGTAGAAAAGCTAAATAAAGTCGTAATTGAATCGCAAATGCATCGATTTCTATGTCCATGTTTCGTTTGATCTTGTGTATTATAGGCTAGATATATATTATGTATATACCATGTATATATATTCACCTAAAAATATAACGATATTCTGCAGAATCATTGTTGTGAAATAATCCATCTCAACATTTACATATATTTATTACACGCGAATATTACATGAGAGGCAGTTTTGAAAAGTATTTCAAAACTTACTGCAGAAATTACTTTATGATGTAAAGGCAAATAATTCAATTTTTATTAACTGCTCAGCCAACCAACTGGCAACATAAAAAATGCTAGATATTAATAGTATAAACCGGTAACTTTCGACATTGAAATTGTAAAAAAGCGGTTAAGAAGCCGGCCTAACACTCCGGGGAATCCGGGATCGATTCCACCAGAGCAACTTTCCAGGAAGTTTTTATGAGCGGATCCATTCCTTGTCTCGGTCGACCCTTATTTGGGCCTGGCCGAACCCTCGATGATTATGAAAATAAAGGCCCTCTTAGTGTCTAATGAAAAGAAAATATTAAAAATAAACACCTCTAAATTATTTTTCGTACATCAAATTCGAGATTTTGAGCATTCCTGCCAATTTTTATTTCAATAATACCAATATCATTTGTTGAAATTAATTCGTTATTGTGTTTTCTGTTGAATCTTCGATATAACGTTTTATACTTAAAAAGTCACTTAATTGTAATTACACAGAAATTTAAAATTTAAGACACTTAATTGTAAATTACACAGAAATTTTGAACAATTAAGTATTTTGTAAGAGGTTCCTAGATTATTACAATGTTAAAATCATTGAAATTTTAATATATTTTACATTGATTTCTAGTGTATAAAATTCTTATTTAATTTTTTTTATAATAAAATTTTGAATTAATAATTAATTATAAATTAAAAATCGAAAAATTCATTTTGATCCAAAATGAATATCAAGTGAAAAAAAATCACGTAAAGTAATATATTTGATTTAAATTTTTTACTTACATTTCACTTTCGTGGATGAATATGAAGTTTTAATGTTTCCTTATGATGAAATTGAAACACAGTACGGTTCATTCAATACGAACAATTAATTATGTTACTGAAGAGGAACGACACCACACCCCGACAAGTTTTATGCTTTAAAAACGTTTCTCCTCCTCATTAAAATTTATATTAATTTTGTATATTTGTAGTACGACCAATTTCGCCTACAAAACCCGGGCCTACCGAAAAAAAGCTTACGTGTGAAGGGTATATGTACATAAATCACATGTGTTAATATGCATTCCCGCTCACCCTTGGCTGAGTGGATAAAACCACCTAACACTGGTAGTTACTCGTGTGTTCGGGCAAGGACACGTGAAGTTTTCCGGGTTTTTTTCACGTATGTAACCTAAATTTCCCATAAATGTCCTTCCGGAGGCATCCCCAATTGTATAAATCATATCCAGTGACTGCATAATAAAATGAATACATTTTCCTATTTCTGTATTCATTTAATAACTCTGGTCACCTTCAGATAACGGCCATTTTTAATGTTCCCATCAGTGGCCGTTGTTTACAGCTATGGGTCATTACACTGGAAAAAATTAAATATTGATAATACAGTCAAACATTTGCTACTAACAGATACATTATTAAATTCAGCATGGGTTTAGAAGTTGCAAGAAGGATTAATAATTTTTGTAACACTTATCTATCTACGAAAACACTATAGTTTATTAATACCTGTGCTATAATAATTTACAGTCGATGTACAGTACACTGTAGAAGTACTGTATTCATACATTGTTATAATTATGCAAGTCATGCATGTGTAATTATAAGTTACTACAGTTGAGTCATACACATAATTTTTTCCTTTTTTTTTGAATGGATAACCACATGGAATTTTCCAGATTTTCTTCGAGTTTGTAACACTTAAATGTGGGGGCAGTTTCGTGTAAAATTCCTCCCGCGTGGCAACACCATTCGACAGATGGCTCATGTGTCCCATTGCCATAACCAAGTAAACCAATCTTATAGCGACATTTTACAATATTATTTTCCCATTAATATGGCTGCGTATTTATTTTATTTATCCAGTTATTATTCTTCTCGCGAAATTTTAATACATCCATACAGATAAACCCCCCAAATTTTTTGCATTTTTCGATGTTTTAAGGTTCCCTTAGTCCAAAAATGTAAAATATGGAGGAGTTTTTGACCAATCACCATAATTTCCTTCTACTGTATATAACAGCCAGAAAAATAATACAAGATTTATTTATTATAAATATAATAAATCCATATAAGAATTTCTCTGTTACTTTGACACTAAGAGAGATTTATAAATAAAAAGTATCGATTTTAAACTATGAAGTAAAGAAGATCATCATAAATACATTATAAAAGTTACTGAAACGTAGATTTTTGAAAAGTTAAAGCATAAAAGATATGACTAGAGAAGAAATTTATTATTAATTTTCTTTTAATACTGCAATAACAAAGAAAATTCATTACAATTTTATATTTTAGAAAACAGTTTTCAGTATGACATTTATTTATTTATTATTTCTATAACGAAAGCACAAATTGAATGTTATTATTAACTTATCTATACATATAGAAGTCAGAATGTTTGTTTGTTTGTTCGCTATACATTCCTAGGCCATTCGACCAATTGCCGCGAAACTCGGCAGTTATGCTCAAATACTTCTAACTTAAATAATGTCATAATCGTATTCCAAAAAGTCTATTAAATTTCTGTAAATCAACCATTTTCTCTGTACATTAGATTTGCTGATTTATACATAGCGCTGATTTACACGTAGCGCCATCTACCGGAAAAAATTAACAAAATAATAAACTAAATATAATTCTTGTAAGAAAGTATATAATCTTAATATATATATATATATACATTATATTTATTTAATTACTGCCGCAATGATATAGCGCTAAATTGACGCGCCATTACGCCATTACTGTGACAGGTAGCATATAGCACTAGCCTGCATGAATACGAAAGTGGTAACCCTTTATCTAACACAAATACTGTGTACACACTGTGACTTTTATATACAGTAAAACCCGTCCAGAACGGAACCTGAATACAACGGATAACCTGCCTAAACAGTGAAAAATATCTTTAAATCATAGCGATTTTTTATGTTAAAAAAAAAAACCCTGTTTAAAACGAAAACCCTTCAAAGCCGGAGAGAAAAATTATTTAGTACATGTAATTCCGGCTTACGCAGGTTTTACTGTTTATAAATAAACGCTTAAGATACAGAAGTTTTAGACATTTTTGCAATTATATTTTTACATTTATTGTCATATTAACTTTTGAAATTTAATAAAGATTATTATTGACTTTAGAATTTTCATTTTATTTTATTACTTACTCGATTCTTCTGAAGCAAAAGCAATTACTTTTGAAGTAGAAATATCTCAAGAACTAGAATAAATGATGCCAACAACTATTAACTCGACGACTGCAAAACTTTTATATTAAATATAAATCAATTTATTTGTTATATTAAACTTTTAATAATAGAAAATTTCGAAATTACAGTGAAGACACACACATACAAATCAGAATTTATTTCACGAATTCCCACCCAAATAAAAATAATATAAAAGCTCAAATTACTAACTAATTTACATGTCTACAGAGTGGCCGCTCAAAAGTCGGTTAACCGTCGGTTAACCGACTTTTGTGCCACCCTGTATTTATCTAATGGTTTCTGGTATATTTCGAGACGTAATTCATTTAAAGTTACTTTAAAAAAATGTTTGGTAAATTTTTAATTATTAAGTTTAATATTCTGTTTGATAAGGGCGATTCACGCTGCGAAAGTTTTACAAATCTCGATAATCTCATAAATCTGATTAAAGTTTTACAAGGCGAGCGATAAGATAAATAAGATTTAATGAATGTAAAATGGCATCGATTTTGGAATGTTAAACAATACAGAACAGAATAATTACATTAATTACCGTAAGGATTCGTTCTAAAGGATCATTTTTCATTAAAATCTTTCGTAAATTTCAAGTTAATATCGGAAATTATTTTTCTTGTCGTATATCACTGGTGTCAGGAAACCATTTTTCCATTTAAAAATTCATTTTTTTTTCTTAAAAAATAATAAATTTTAATCAATTATTTAAAATAAAAAAAAGAAACTTATT